TTTCAATTTCCCCCCCCCCCCCAAATTCTTGCGCTAAGGATCTGAGGAGCCAACCTTCAGCACAATTATTGCTCTAAGACAAAGCCAAGTGTGTTTTAAGGGAAGTTGTGAGGTTTGTGTAGGGGGAATGGCTCTTACCCTTGAGACTTAAAAAACTGCAGTAGCATAGGGTCCGTATTAAGTCTTTGGGCGACTGTCTTTGCAACCTGGGGAGATAAAAGTGTTGAGAAAAGAAACAGATCAGAACAGAAGGTAACACAATCCATGCTGGCAAGAATGTTGTGATCCGAACACTGTGAGTCCACATGAAACCTTCCACTTACAGCCCTGAATGCCCCGAAACGTCCACCTTTTGCTGGGGAGGGAAAACACTTTTCTGAACAATATCTGGGCAATTATCAGTGTACAGCACCATTTAAAAGGAGCAACAGGGTTAAGAAAATCGGGCTGTAGTAATTCTGCTTCCAGGGAAATGGGTATTCCAATGGGGAAATGCTTTTTGCTAGACGATGATTTCGCTAAACAACGATTCCAGTGGAACGGATTATCATCGTCTAGTGAGGCACCACTACAGATGAGATGGATGCGAGAGCTCTGCATTTCTCTCTGAAGGATCCCCGGGCAGTTGTTAGCTTCTGTCACGGAATAGGAAGGATATACCTGAAAATAGTTCATCCTGTTGGACAAGGTGACGACAAAACCAGGATCATTGGGGATCGTTTTGTCGCAGAAGATGACATCGACGCGGTGGTACAGGTCTCGGAAGTACTCTTTCGCCGTCGGGAGCTCGCTGTTGTCGTTCTCGGGGTCATCCCTGTTAACGCAAAAGACCAGAATCCTTGCACTGAATTGCACCAAGATTGTTTAGACGCTGGACGGATGCAAGTCTCTCCAGCCCTTTTCACTCTTTGTGCAGCCTCCGGAAATAATCCGAAGCAGCCGAAGAGACCTGAGCTGTAAAGAGGTCCTTCCACAATACAGGGCTTATTCTGCCAGGTTAAGCCGCATATCTGTGCCAAGTTATATGCATGCATGACAGAAAAAGAGGGAGAAAACGAAAGAAGGGACAGTAGGTTAAATGTTCTTAAGTTCGTAAGAACTTTCCGACTTAATGGTTTATGGGCAAAGAGGAAGAGAATCCTAGGATCGTGGGAGTTGGAAGGGGGGTGTCTCTCTAAGGTCATCGAGTCCAATCCCTTGCTCAGGGCAGGGATCCCAATCCAAGCGGATTGGATGGATGGTGGCCCGATCTTCTCTTGAAGGCCTCCATAGTGTTGACATGCTCACCAGCTCCCACAGTAAAGAGCAAATTCAAAGGTCTAAGCCAGAGAGGAATGAACAGTGGTGCCCCGTAACTTTCATTAAAACCAGTCAACTTGGCCAAAGGTGATGGATGATGGGAGTTGTAGTTAAATGACTCCTGGAGAGCCATATGTTTCCCACCCCAGCTTTAACTTATCAAATTCAGCTGAGTATGGCAAGCCTCAGTCAATACCTACTTTTGAAACACAATGATGTCTCCGTCCATCAGTTCATCGAGAGCTTTGTCGAGGGAAACGTCGTAGTCTTGGATTCTCTCTGTTAAATTCGGTTTAACTTCCTGAATCACAAAGGAATTGAACAGGAATAATTCATGGGCAATCCTGAATATAAACGTTCGTGCTGTCGTTTTGTCACTCAGACACACACAATGTCATTTATAATTATTTACAGTGAATTAGAAGATTTATTTACAGGGTGTAGCAACATTCATCTATCAGAGCACGGACTCCTGCAACTATCTCAAAAGATGGAGAGATTTTTTTTGGAGAATTGCAAATACTACAAAAAGTACAACGGCATAAGCTTTCACAGATGGGGCCGCACATCAAAGCTTACAACCATCGTTTACCACTCTTAAAAATGCTGCACCGCTATTGTGCACACATATATGCAGGTATGCATCTGTAAAACATTTAGACATGGATTTCGGTTTAAGGCCTCATCAACAGGTTTACTTTTAAACACTGCCATTTCTGAACTGCATCCTCCTCACTCCCTTCAAATACATGTCCTTTCTCGGTCAGGGAAAAAAGTGGTTTGAGCGTCTTAGAACGACAAAGGCCTCTTAGAGGAAGGTGGCATAAAGGGGAAAAAAATAAACTGGTGAAGTCCATATAAAATGCTTGAGCATTAGGAGGAGATGCTTTGGGCCAAGGAGAACTGGCAAAAGCAGTAACTACTGGACATTTCAACGCAAACCCCATCATGGAACACAACAGTGGCATAGCAGAAGGGTTCTTTCAATGGAAATCCAGTTAGACCCGGTCTTTTTCTTTCTCTCCCGCCATGATGAAATGAACTTTCCCCCAATGGTTCCAGATGTTTTAAGATTCACCAAACCCAATAAACAAACTTCTCAACCCAAACAGCTGGTCTAAGATGCACTTCCATCAATGCTTTTGGTGCTGGTGGTGAGAAATCCACTTGTCTGGGTTACGCTGATGGCAGAACTTCCTGAAGCCAGCTGGCTTAACGTAAGAAATCTCCATAGGCATTTGGTGCAACTCAGCATGCAAAGGATCCTGGCAATGGGGGATTTCTTAACTTTGCGGCTTCCAAAAGTTACGCTGTTTGCGCAGCTATGCAAGAGGATGTCAGCCATTGTGTGTGTGTTTTTTTAAATGAAAGATGTTGTGGAATCTCAAACGGATTTCATTAAGAGCAAGCACTCTTGTCTGAAATGGGCTGTTTGTACTCTATTTAATTTGGGACTGTCTAGCGGTAACTTCCCCTCCCTTCTACAGCGATGATAATACTTGGCGTCATTTAACCTATTTTCTTCCAATGACATTTCCTACGTAAACACCCATGACATCAAGATTTAGTTTAAGGAATAATAAGCGCTTCAAACCTCATAGAGGATAAGATTAGAGTCTTGGGGAAATCCTGCTCTTTCACACATAACTGGCAGCAAGTCACCTTTGGAAAAGAACAGAAAAAGAAATGTATGGTTTCTGCAAATCTTTTTAAACACATGATCCTGGAATTTAGTATGAAATAATAAAACGATTCAAACATTGGCATTCCAGGGAGGTGGGGTCTGGAGCATCAGCCCAGTGGAGATGGAAAAATAAAAAAGAAGATTTTGGAATCTGACGTGAAATCGGGTATGCCCACTTCCAAAATCCTGGCTCAGCACACCCATGCCACCTGTGCTAAAATTAACTTCTCTACACAGAAGTTTCAGGGCCAACCATGCATTTCAGCATCTAGCATCAGCAGAAACAAACACCCTGCTTCCCCACCTCCCTGAGGCCCAAATTCCACTCCAGAAAGTTCCCCAAAGTACATATATATATATTGGGGCCATAAGACGCACCTTTCCATAAGACGCACCAAATTTTTAGGAGAAGAAAACAGGAAAATATAATCTGTTTTCTTCGTTCCATAAGGTGCACAGACTTTCCACCACCACCCCGTTTTGTGGGGGAAAAGTGCGTCTTATGGTGCGAAAAAACGGTATATATATTTTTTGGGGGTATACAGGGTGCTTGAGGGAAGCAAAGTGGAGGAGAGGACTGTGAATTCCAGCGGATCCAACTCAAGGGAGCCACTCGGTCCTGGAGTCAGATCTGTTCACTCTTTTCTACAAGCAGCAGGACGATGGACTTACGTATTTTGCAGGATATAGGTGTGTAGATATGTCCACAGTAATTCAAGCTCCGTGTCTTTGGATCGTACATCTTCAGAAATAGCATTACGTCGTCTGCAAAAGTTCAGGAACAAGCACATTATTCTTCTGCAAGTCAAACACCGTTTGCTATTACACGGTAAGAACAGGACAAACTGAGGTAGCGCTAAAACTTCGGCTACTGTTGAGCTTGAAGGGACTTCTACTATGTACATGTTGAAATTCACTTCTGTGCTGCAATAGTAAATGGACAACTCTTTATTTATTCATACACAGAACAACCAGGCTGCATCTGAAATGTTCCAGCCCATCATTTAAATACTATTAAAATTTGAGGCACCCACGTCCGGTTTCTTTTCCCCCTCGTTCATCCACTTCCCTTCTTCCTTCTGTGTCATGCCTTTTCTATTCTACACCAGCAGGCACGGCCGGTTCGGCTTTTGTTTATGCCAGCCAGCTCGGAAGCCTTTTTTTTTAGCTGAAAGGCAGGACAGGGAGACGAATAAAGAATTGTAACTGGAGGTTTGCAAGAAACTATTTCCAAGCAGAACGAATACACATCGGGGATCCGCTTCTAGATCTTTCACGGCTAGCACTCAGGAGGGCTGCTTTGGGCGGCTTCTCTAAGGAACGACGGGATCTACAATGAACACAGCTTATGGAGCGGACCTCCATTTTCAAAAGAAGCTTTTCATGTGCAGCCTGGAGATTTGATTCGAGGCAAACCAACCCAGATCTCCTGGGGATGAGGAGCTCATCCCAAAGTTCACCGGATCTAGGCCTTCAAGGAGTGTACTTACGATCTTTGTCAAACTTGGGTAACGTTGCCCCCGTAGCAGCCATCTCGGGATCTACTGTTTCCAGGAATATTGTCCATGGATTTTCATTGTCGCTCAGCTCTATCATCTGAATAGTTAAAGAAGAGACTTTCATGAAAGGAGGTAAGACGACAGGAAACTGCTCTCTGAGGACATCAACACAGTTGGAATATTACACAGCTTATACTACCTTTCAGTTTCATCTGAAGGAAGCATTAGGAGCTTTTAAAACATGTTTGTTCCTACTCTGGAGTAATAAAAACAGCCCAAAGACAAGGTGGAGTGGTTAACTGTTAAGTTTGGAAGCAAGAAACCCAGGCTCAGTTTCCTGGTCGGTGCAGAACATTTGCTGCTCGGTCTACAACCTCTCAGCCTAACCTACGGTCTGAGAAGTTTTGGCGTGGGGTGGGGGGACTTGGTAGAGGGAGGGCATCAAAAATGGCAAAGAGATTTGTATTGCTATCATAGCCAGCCACTCAAGAAAGGAGGAGAAGAATCTGTTTTAGGAAAACAATGTGCCGGAGTTTTTGATTTGAGTCACCCTAAAATACACATGAAGAAAAGAATGTGTTTTTTTTAGTTTTAAGCAGGAGATAAACCACCCTCATTGTTGTTTTGCTTCAAGAAGTTTCCCATTATAGTAAAACAAACAGTCACGCTGCATGTTTTTGTCTTTGTGTGTGTGGTTTTTTTTTCTTTTTTTGGGATTTTGCCTGATAGTCATGATGACTGGTGAGTATTTATAGACTGAAACCTGATGACCATAAGCTTTTTCATCACTTCAAGGCTGCACAACACCAAAAACGGTGGCTTGAATGGGCAAACGAGACACTGCAGGGAAATTTACATGACATCTTTCAATGGCACTAACCCACACATACATCTGTCACTTACCAAGTGCTATCAAGCACAGAGAAACGAAACTACGGGCTTTCTGAGAGGTGTAAAATGTGTAAGATCATGCCGCATTCAACCGACCTGATTTCTAATTATCTCTGTAATTTACTCCCGGGAGTGTGCTATTTTGTACCCTATATTATTTACGCTTTAAATTTTTGTATATTTTAATTGCAACACCGTACTAACCCCTCCCCTCCCTTTTTAGAAACAGCATTTAGAAAAATCAGCAAGGGCAAAAGACTATGAAGTTCCAAGTACAGGAGGTCTCTTCAAGAACCCAAAGGAAATCTGACTTCTCTACACGTCAAGAATGACCATTTGCAACTCTTAAACTCCATCTCTCTTACTAAGAAGCTCTTAATAACCTTTCTGGGCAGTGCTGGCTCTGAACTGCATCGGTTAAATCAAAAAGCCCTGTTTAATGTTCTATACAAGCAGGACTTCACTGAAATTTGCAAGGAAAAATTGTGCTCAAGCCTGGGTAAGATGTGGGAGCCGAATCTCATATACTTCACGGGCTGTATCTTTAGCGCTGAACACATAAAGAACGCACCGAAATTTAGAACTGATATGCATACTTACAGTTTTATTGCCATCAGCTTCATTGTCTAACATAGCCGGCCTTTTCGTCCCGTTACTTCGGGCTTGCATTGGCCACAATCGTATCTGATCTTGCGGAAAGCCCTAAAAATGGGAAATGGACAGAGACAGACAGACACACACAACATGTGAAGGAAAGGAAGCAACCATTACAGTGTCTCTATACACACTCATGCCCCAGAAAAGAGATGATTCGGTTCAATAGTAGACAAGGGCAGGACGCGTCAGGAAAGGAAGCAACCATTACAGTGTCTCTGTACACACCCACACCCCAGAAAAGAGATGATTAGGTTCAACACTAGACAAGGGCAGGACGCATCAGAGAGAGAGAGAGCTTACCATTGTCTGAGAAAGGTTCTGAACAAATTCCGCAAGCGTTGAGTTCTTCAACACTTTGAACACAGTGTATTTTACTTTTTCTTCATCATACATGTCGTTGCCTTGATGGCCACAGAACTGGTCCTCTGTGACTATCTGGAATTACACAAAACCTAGGTTACTAGAGGGCAGAAGCAGAAGCTCACAGTTTTGAGTTTAAGCCTTTCTTTTCCCATCCATCCAGGCGCTCTCGGTCCCAGACCTACTTTAAGACTTCTGTTAAGGACCAGAGAGGCAAGATAAGCACAAAATGCACGGAGAACAGGGGAAAGAGTCCTAAGTATGAACCGCACAGGCCAGGATCCTGTTCCATTTGCTGGCCAGATTCTTGGCAAACACCATCAAGGCTGGCTCTCCGTCACCCCAGCGTTTTCTGCTTTTGCAGTGACAAGGGTAACCAACGGGACAGGACCACGGCCAACGCCACTGTGAGTGAAACACACCAGAACTAGGACTTAACAGGATCTTGCCCACGAGGGAGGTGGGATAAAAACTGCCTCTAAGAGATGCATCTATTTAAACGCCACATCTTGGGGGAGGGGGTCTGTCGGAGGCCACAGCTGACCTGCACTTGCATGTAGAGGTGGGCTTCTTGTCTCTCTTTCCTCTTCTGAGCCTCTATTCTTTTCTCTTCCTGAAGCCGTTCCACCAGTTGCTGAGGAATATCGTGATCCGTCACTGCCTGCAAAACTTCACCTGGAAAACACCAACGGTAGTATTTCAGACAACGATAAATGATCAAGCCTTCCTCTTTTTTTTTTTAAAGCAGGAAGGGTTTGCTTTGCATTCTGAAACACAAGGCCCGGCATGACCCAATGGGACACAAGTATATACGTACTTAATTTTGACTCCCTGATATAAACCAACATATACGCGTTAGTACAGTGCCGTACAGATAAGTCATCATCGTGGCCTCCATAGTTATGCTCAATTGCTTCTTCTTTTGTACATCTAGATACAACGTCATCATCAAATTTACACCACTACAAAAGAAAGAAAGAAAGAAATACGTGGCAAGAGCTGATCGTCATATGCACGGCTGAAACCGAAGTCAGTCAAATATACTGTATGTTTTGGAACTAAGATAACAACCCTAATACTTTATGCTCTGGAGTGAAATTAAATAAAAAGTCTCCTCCACCAAGAATGTTAGGGCACAAAAAGAAAATTGCATCACTATCTTTTTTGAAGAAAATGATCTAATTTCTGACATACGACAGCTGTCTGAACAAAAACCTGTACTATCTGTATCATTAATAATTCTGATGTTCTGATATTTCAACATTGTTTTGAAATCTCTGGACCAAGTGAAGAACTCTGCCTCCCCCATTTTAATTATTTTGATTAGTGTGGGAGGAGGGGAGGGGAGTCAAGCATTTCTGTTGCCATTAGAAACATCTCTGAAGTAAATTTAAATAATCAGATGAACCCCTAAAAAAAAGTGGAAAGCAAATCAAGCTCTGAATTCCTGCAGGCCAGTTTCTCGTAAAAGAAGCATGCACTTGGGTGAGGAAACTGTAAATATTTGGATTAATATCTAGAACAGCAGATCCTCAATGTTTCAGGGCTGATCATTAGTCGATTTCAATTTTTTTTAAAAAAAATTGTCTTTGTGGGTGCTCACAAATCAAAAGCACCCAAAGGAGAAATCAGGTAGAGAGCAAAGGTGTGACATGGACAGATCAATGGAGAACTGGAATTGAATCTAGAAGATCCGACTTCATCCTTTGTCATAAAGTCTTCCTAACTTCAGTGCCACGTAAAGTGGGGGAAAAGACTGGTCTAACCTCACACTGTTGATCAAAAGACAAGCCCAGGATTGTGACTCAAGATTCCTTGAGAACCAGGCAACAGTCTGGAATTAATATGGGTTCTCCCTTCCAACAGCAGCTCATGCTTCTGACGTGGCCAACTATTCTCAACAAGTTCGGTTTTATTTCCACATGATAGGCTACAAAAGAATGCAAGATGGTATTGTCTCTAAGAGATCAGCCCATCCGAAGGGAATTTCTGGGGGCACACAGATACTCTAGCTTGCTTCTCTTTGCCACAGGACCTCTGGTCAAAGAAGACAAGGAGATTTCTAGAGCAACAATCTATGAGGAGGAAGGTGTAACATGAGGATCTTAAGCTTATTCTCAGAGTTGACTCTACAGACAGATTTTCAGCAAGGATTCAAAAGACTATTAATACAATTCTAGATACAAACAGTTAAAAGATTAGGGATTCTTACATTACTTACTTTTCCATCCCCTTTCGGGTTCAAGTAAACGACGTAATGCCCACCGTGGTTATCTCCACTGTGAACGAGTACTGCGTGAAGTATGTAGTTTGCGGGATCTTTTGGCTCGGTTTTTTGCAAAAATTCGTCAAGAGGCAACTGATCCGGAAACTCAAACCTGTTTGTTTTCAAAAGAAAAACAAAAGGAATATTTAAAAAAAAATCACATGGATGCAGATACTGGAACTCGTGGGACAAGAAGGGTGGAGCAAATCATAAGTACGGCGTTTCTGAAGATGAGCTGCCCAGCTATGCGTTCACGACAGTCGCCTCCTACCCCATGAGCAAAATCGCCCACTTAAGGTGGCCAGGTGACCAGCTCCACTAAATAAGGGGGACTCTCCCAGTCCCTCCATGACGGCCCGTGGCTTGAGCCAAGGCCATCCGGCGGGCCCTGACGGCCTTACCCTGGTTTGGCAGGAGCTTCCTAGTGTTTTTGAACCCATGCACTTAAAGCCATCAGCCACACTGAAGAATAAGGCATGCTTATTTCTTTGAAAACACCTGTACCTTGTTTCTCATTTCCCCAGAAGAAATTTAAAGGCCACCAACTATGATTTTGGCTAGCCTATTAAAATTCCCGCACACCCAGGTTTCTGCCTCCACTACAACAGGGAATTTATTACCTATCGTTTATCTTGATGTTCTGGTCAGTTTGGGGGTCATACATGAACCTCATGAGCTGCAGATGCAACACGGGAGGCAACGTGAGGAATTTCACACCCTTTTCAGCTTCCTGCAGGTTAAAAGAAAGACAGACATGAATCAGCAGTGGAATTACCAGAGTCATCATCGAAATAAAGTACAATACAACCCCTGTATCTGCGGGGAGATCAGTTTCAAGTGTCCCCCCTGCGGATGCAGAAAACCTTGGATAATAGCGAACCCTATGCATAGTGTGGCCTCTGGCTCTCTCTAGTGAGCAGTAATTGCATCATGGAAATTATGTGTTTCTGGAATTTTTCTTTAAATATATTTAAAAATATTTTTCAGTCCGCAGGTAAGTGAAACCATGGATAACGATCCCATGGGGGGTCCTACTGCATTTTGCATATAAAATAGGTGAGAAGCATGTAATTCAGCATGAAATACTAGGCCTGAAGCTTTTGTTGTTACACAGACCCAAGTGGAATTTAGCGTACCTGCAAGCCATGTTCTCCTGCGTCATATTTATTATCCCCATCCAGCTGCTCCACTGCCACGTAGTCAATGAAAGACTCAAAGACTGAAAAAAAAGATGAGATAAGAAAGGGGTTTCATGGTTACATAGAGACAATATAGAAAAAAAAAGCAAGGCATATTTTAAGACATCTCCCACAACTCCATTCCCTGGCAACCCCCCGGTGTACCTTTTAAATTGACATGTGTCCCACACGGTTTGTCACACCAGGTTTTTCTCTTTGAATGGTCAAGCAAAAGCAGATGGGCAATAAATATCATGTGACAAAGCGACAACTCCCCTCAATGGTTCGGTGCCACAATCAGTCACAGAACTTACCTGGATATTAATAACGAAGAAAGTGCCCCTTTGAATCTGTGACAAAGCAAAGCCTCCACTCCAAGGTAGTGGAGAGTTCATTTCAAGAGAGATAATAATAGACTTACTGTTCTTCTTTCCCTTTATGCTGAGTTGGATATCATAATAATCTTCTATCCGTTCAGACCGATAGTCTACGTGTTTGCACTGGATGTAAGACTGCAAACAAGAAAAGGGCCATTAAACACCAACCATCTATGCAATTCCCAACCACGCCCTGAGTTAGCGTCCACACCGAATACATACCACCATTTTCCCCCTGAATAATTTAGGAATCGTGCCCTCTACACAGGTGCCTTTCATTTTATTTTCAACATTATCGAGCAACTGAAAGAAAACAGAAAGCTTGCGTTAGTAACAGAAAGGTCTTTTGGGAAGCTCAAGGCACTAGGATGATCATGGTGAACTGACAGAGCATTATTCTGTCCTGTGTGCTTTCTGTCAATTCAAAAGCCTTCAGAATCTCCTTCTCCTCAAGAAGAAGAGATCTACAGACTCAGATATACAGAAATAAACAGCACCCTCACCCAGAACAGTGTCTTATAGGCCACTCTGGTAAAGGAGGTAGGTTGCATGAATGTCATGGCATGAAGCCAAGCTCAGGAAGGGCAAACAGGGAAGGAATGGTTCCGATTTCTCAGTGTGAGTGGGAAAACCACTCTGCATGTGCACAGGAAGACACTAACGGCTGCCAATATACCTGAACTGAGATGGGGTGATCAAGGCAGGGTCCAAAGCTAAGCGCTGCCTCAAACCAAACCAGGAATATTAGTAACGGTGACCAAGGGCACGATACAGCCGGAAGCAAGTGTGCATAATCCCATGGCAATGAATGGGAGTTCCCTTCTATTCATTTTATCATGGCTTCTGGTGGAGAATCTCCCTCTTGATTACTTTGTTATCAAAACGCTGAGCGTAAATACAATCAAGGCTGTATGCGAACCCTGATGAGAACAAGACAAGGTGGGTGTGAAATACATACCACTCGACATAGCTCCTGAACGTCATGTTGCATGAAGCTGTCTAAAGTCTCCCATCTTTATTAAAAAGTGAAACAAAGAAAAAGTGCCACTTATAATCATGTGAGCACAGGCAAAGAACGGAGAAGTTATCAGAAATACTTGAGTCTGGACACAAACCACCACAAGGGGCAGACAAGAACGAAGGGACATCTAAGTGACATCTCAAAAGGAAAAAATGTTTTAATATAAGGTTATTTTATATTTTAATATTATATTCTTAATTCTTCCTTAATCTTTGAATAATGTACTGTTTTCAGGTTTTAATTATTATGCTTTTAATGATGTAAACTTCCTTGGGTCCTCTTTGTAGGAGAAAGGTGGGCTTTAAATAAATAAATTGAAATAAATCTTTCAATCTTGTTCCCTTCATCCAGCCAAATACCAATATAATTTTGCATGTGTTTTATAAACTAACTCTGTTTATTAAAAAAAAGGAAGGACTGATGAGTTTAGTTGGGACAAAGCAACGCTTTGTTCTCAAAAGTCACTCCTCAAATGCTTATTGATGGCACTACTATGGGGCTGCTCAGATTCCAGATGCCTCAGTATAGTCTAGTACAGGAAAAAAAAACATCCCTGTTGATGCACCAGCAATGTGATCTATTAAGATTGCTGTATAGTACTGGGAACTTTCTATTTTGTGAATGTCTTCTTATGTACAGCATGGGAAGCTTCCTTGCAGACTAGACGAGGATGTTTTCAGAAAGAATCTCTGCTCACAAGCAAATTTCATTGTTACATTAACTGAATAAAACTCATATGACTACTCAATTTTAAAAAATTAATGGGTGCAGGTTACAATAAAATGAGACTTCTGTCTCAATATAAAACGGGGTTTCATGCTGTAGTTTTAATTCAACAGATCACAAAACTCGCTTTTCAAGAGAAGTTACAAAAACGGCAGCTCAGCCACGGCCAGGGCTCGGGCGTCTGGCCAGCGCTTACCCAAAAGATTTGGTGAGCTTCTTCGTGCCGACAGGCTTGTCGCTGTGCTGAAGCTCGTAGAAGACTCTTTGCAACGCTAAAGGGACGCTCTTGGACGAGTCGTCTCCCTCCGATGGAATCTTGTACACTGCCTTAAAAAAACAAAACAAACAAAAAACAAAACACCCCCAACCAGTTTAATTAGGACTGTGGAAAAAGGCTTCCCAGCTCTTTCGTTTCGTCCGGAGTGGAAAGGAAATGCCGCCAGACAGGTTAACAACATCCGTTAAACACTTTAGAGTCGAACCCATTGGGAACTTAAAAGGACATTTTCATCAGCCAGGTTTATGATGGTCACTTGCTTCTTATTCAGGGTGCCCCAACGTCTAACATATCAAGGCAAAACAACCAGCACCTTTCATTCATGCAGCTGGACGCCACCAACAGCACGGATGGTGACTCAGGTTGCTGTCAAGTTGGGTTTAAGGACTCGGCTGGCAAACTGGAAACCACCCGCTCTCCCTTTTGTATGGGGCGGGGGGGCAGCTTGTTTTTAATAGGGACTAGGGGTTTGGAACTCAGGACTTTGGGAACCAAAGACTCGCCGACGTCCCTGACTGATGGTCTGGCCAGCCTTCACACCATCCTACAAATCTTGTTTGATTTCAAAAACTAAGTAGGGTTGGGCTTTGGTTCATCTCTGGAGAGGAGATCACCTGGGGATCTCCAGGTAGGGCAAGAAGAGAATCTTGCCCGAAACCTAGGTAGCCAGTTAAGATTTGGCCACTGGTTCTGAGATAGAGCAAAGTCCAAGCTGGGTGCTGTCCTGTATTTCTTGCGGAAAACGGCAGGCTGTGCCCACTCAGCAAGGGATGATTCGCCGAATTTTAGACCTTCTTCAGAGCAACCGTCACCGTAACCGAGTCTCTGCAAAAGGAGCTATCCCGGGTGCTAAGTGGCCTGCCTCTCTATAGGACATGATTTCAACAAAGTAAAAGTAAGAGACGTGGGGCCGGCATCTCCCCTTTGTTAATTTTTGTTAAGCTTCCATTCCTCAAGGGCTGTGAAGATAGGACGGGTCATCTTTGTCCCCTGTTTCTCCCCCTCCAGCCTCAAATAGAGGTGCCACGGCTGGTCCGGGGAAAAAAATGCTTCCCACTATAGCTTACAGGAGGAGGAGCCCTCTGACAAACCACCAGCTGTGTTGTCATTTCAACCCACGGGAACTGCAGTGACCAAACAGCTCGCTTTTCACCCTACTCCTGGGTTGTGCCACCCACGGTCTTGCAATGTGCTGTGCAGCATTAAGAAACTGCTCAACCGCCCCAGCGTTTTACTTCCTTGTTCACAGTGTTTTAGCTGTGCAATGACTATGTGTTCTTCTTAAGCTTTTATGCCAAAGAACTACCCCTAAACTCCCTCCCTCTCTCTTACTTCTCTAACTTCTTTTGGGTACCAGAGAACATGATTATTATTTTGTCTTTCCCAGTCTTATTTGGGTCTCAGGTGGGGTGATATTTTGTGAAGCAGCTTTCCTCTAGCATTTATACATCATGACCAAGGAGCAGTTTCTACAATTCCCCTCTTATGTTCACTTTAAGGCCAAGCAATCTAGTTCTGTGAGCTTAGATAGGCAAATAAGGCTTTACTTCGGAAGCACAGGAAGGAGGAAAGAAACCATACTTAGCTTCTTCCACAAATATATTATTGGAATTTCAGAAAATTCAAAGAAAGACGGTAGGAGGTCTAAAATTCAGCAGAGAACCATTCCAAGGAGCACCACTGGCAACCAGTAATCATCAACCATTTCACATAAAGTCTTAGGTAAACATAGCTGTTAATACTGCCTTGTCTAAGAACAACAGGGATCAACCAAGGGAAAACAGCGCCTTGAGGTCTGAAGGCAGAAATCACAAACCCAATAAAGTTGATCTACCCCAGTGGATTGTGCTACAAACAGCCAATAAAACAAATAAGAAGAGCTGAAGGCCCTATCATCTTGAAGATTAAAATGGCAACTGATCTCCTAAGTGGCAACTATCACAGAAGTCAGTGGCCAAGCAGGAAACAATCTTGACCTCTTTTCCCCGCTTGCCAGCCATCTTCTCAACCTCTCTGCCATCAACACTGTCTCCCGGCACCTGCAACAGCCCTGCAGGATCTCTTCCCACACACACCCCGCTAGCTCAAGTCCAGGGCAAAAAGGCATCATTATGCTTCTCATCCTGACAGGTATCAAACAGGAACCTCTCCAAGCCGGTGTTAGCAGAAAGCCGGCCATCACCTGGATAGGGTATCCGCTATAACTCCTTTCACAAACCCATTGAAATAAAGGTCCGGTGAAACTCCCATGAAAACCCCAGAGGGTTTATTTTACCAGGTTCCCTGAGCCTTTTGGTGGCCCACGGACAAGAGAGCTCCAAGCCGTTCTGTTTACCTTTCGTAGCTGGTTTGTGAAAAATAATGTCTGTAATAAGCTGTTCATATAGCAGGTTGCTCCTTGGTTCTTCAGCCCCACGTAGCCTGTATGCTTCTTGGAATCCCACCTGTGACAACCAAGGAATTGCGTTACCACAAACACACATGTATATTAAGAGACATCTCCCTGGCATATTGGTTGAGTTGCAAACGCCTGAACGAACGGTGTTGAGGCAGCGTTAACTCGCCATTCCATCGTGGAACACTGAGATTGGCTGCCATGGTGCAAGGTAACCCTAGTGCCTCTACTAGAAATCAGTGATCCTCGGTCTCACTGCAACCCCCATGTCCCCTAAAACACTCGCCATTCCATCGTGGAACACTGAGATTGGCTGCCACGGTGCAATGTAACCCCAGTGCCTCTGCTAGAAATCAGTGATCCTCGTTCTCACTGCAACCCCCCATGCCCCCTTAAAAACATACTGTGGAGGGCTGGGAAACCTTTCTGAGAAGCTCTGGGGGCTGCAGTGGGAGGGACGGGAAGTGCTAGCAGCCCTGCAGATGTTATGCCATCGTGGAACACTGAGATTGGCTGCCACGGTGCAATGTAACCCCAGTGCCTCTGCTAGAAATCAGTGATCCTCGTTCTCACTGCAACCCCCCATGCCCCCTTAAAAACATACTGTGGAGGGCTGGGAAACCTTTCTGAGAAGCTCTGGGGGCTGCAGTGGGAGGGACGGGAAGTGCTAGCAGCCCTGCAGATGTTATGTGGCCAAGGAAAGCGTTGGACCTTGGGGTATTAGTACCCATAATCAACACTGGGCACATGCCAGCCAATACCTTCTCCATGAAAGCTCCAAACTAGAAGTTCTTAAAACACTAAGACATGTTCAATTGGCAAGTGGAGACATCAACAATTCTAAAGGAAGCCGGTTTCTCTTCCGCAATCCAATCACTTCTTCAAAAAGAGGACCATCACAGAGACCAAGACAAGAACAGGAGCAGGTTCTTCCCCGATTAGGCCAACGGCCGCAATAAGGGAATTCTGAGCCGCCTCTCTTTCACAGCTCCTGACTCTGCTCTTATGCCACCGCTGCTTTTTGCTTTCTTTGGGGACAGAATTCTGAGCCTCGTAAAAGAGGTACGAAGCGGACAAGATGTTTCTGTCTCAGTTGTTCAGGAAGGCCGTCCGTTTTGCTGTGTAACTTAGAAACCCTCCTGGGTCCCAGACCAATTATCCGTTATTCTCCTTGCAAAAACTGTGCTCAGCTAAACCATGGGAGGGTGCCAAGTAAAAAACAAAAACAAAAACACACACAAAAATAAACCCTGTTTTCCCAATTCCAGAAAACAATTCAGGAGAAGGATTTAGTGGCATCCTTTTTTCTAAGGCAGACAAAGCCAGCCTGGGAAGGAGCACAGGTAACTGTAGAGGGGTTATATTTTCATGAAGATGCTGTCCCAGGACATGAGACTGGAGTCCAATGATCATTGTAAAAGGCTTCATAAACTGGAGTAACTACGATTAGAACAACGACCCTCCAAATTCTTTCTCTTTGTCTATGATCCTACAACAGTCCCGGCCGGTTACAGCTTTTGTACGTATTTGTAAGAAAGGAAAATCATCACTTCAGCTAAAAATTAAAAGGGAGGAGAGGTATAGAGAGGGCAGATTTTTTTTCCCTTTAAAAAAAAGAAGAAGCACTTACGCTACACCATGTGGAGCATCAGCTTGAACATACACTTCAAAAGTTACTTTATCATCTTCTATATAGCCTTTATCTGGAACTGTAACTTCCTACAAAGAAAAAGAAGAAGATGCAAACCATAGTAATAAACTCATAATAAAACGGTGATGAAACGGCCATGAAAATAGCGGCTGTGCATGTACAGCACTGCTCATCACCGTGTTGCCAGCAGGACCACACCACGGCCAATCCCTTCACAGAAGGGGCACCATACCCATTATATGGTACTACAGTTATTGCAGGGTCCTGAAAGGTGGAGGGTGGTTAACTTCTGGGCCAGCAGGAGGAGGACAGAGACCGGCCCAAGGTCCCCCAGGGCCACGGAGAGGTTCAGATTCGCTTCCCACCCTCTATCCAACCCACCAGTCCCCGCGGCTGTTACTCACACTCCAGGACATGAAGTTGGAAAAACCCCAGTCATTTTCCTTATGAAAGAACAAATGGCTGATCCGTCGGCTGAAGGATTTATCATCGTCTTTATAATTTATGATCTTGAGCACCGCTTGGGCGTGACAAGACCATGACCTGCAACAATTAAGAAGATAACGCTTGACGGAGGACCCAGTGACAAGAGGACAGGCTCATAAATTCACTGTTGGCCACGCAAGGTTACTCTCCTTCTTGACACCCTTGGATTTAGAACTTTGCTCCAAGACTCTCTGGGACATTTGTTACGATTATTATCATCACTGAACCCAAGTGTGAAGGGGCTGCGTTTCTACATTGCTCCCTACAGAAGGCTTATGCTCCGCTGGGCTGCTTTCCCCCAGAGATACCTAAGAAGGTTCCACGTTCTTTAAAGGAGAAAAGCTTTCATGTCAGATTTCATTACTACAGGTTTAAAACGTTCCAACGGGGGGGGGGGGACCCTGTTCCTTGAAAGTTTATTTATTCAAATCAGAATGCCAGGAGACTTGGTAAAATATGAAATTTACTTCCATGCTACGAATGGACAAAGGAGGACTGACAAGTGCCCTTCATCCCCCAGAAACTTCTGCAGGGCGTATGTTTTTTGAGCTGGAAACAGGGCTGTGTGTGTGTGTGTGTGTTAGCATTAAAACTGCATTAAAGAAATTAAAACAGCAAATTATGCCCGAAGAAGAGGTGTGTGTGACAACTGACTATGGCGGGGGAGGCAGAGGGTAGCTGGAGCCTGTTGAGATAAAGGCCTTCCTCAGAACTGCCCCCCCATATTAAAAAAAATTATAAACATATGAAAGGGTTTTTATCTCCACCAACATTTATCTTGCTCCTTTAGTGATGTTTAATCATCCTTAAATAGAAGTTAGCCAACAGAACAAATAAAAAAGCAGATGATGAATCTATTCTTTAGATCAACCGATGTTCCTCGGCCTTGCCTGAATGGAAACTGTTCTACATTTCACTTAAGTTTTCACCAAAAATTAGAAAGAGCTGAACATTAAGGCATGTTGAGGCCATCTTCCGCACGTGTCCAAAAAGTCATTTCACATGACCAATGTTGCACTAGGAGACAGACGCTCATCTGCAGCAGGGCATCCGATTCATTCTTCAGGCTGATGCATCTGAAACCTGGAGGCAGTTATGCCTTTCCATGACACACAGACACACAGACACAAACACACAAAGCTCTGGATCCCAGCGGGCCTCTCCCATGGGCTTCATCTCTTTCTACAGGTGGGCACAGAGTGGCTCCCTGACTATCGGTGGCCACCCTGGCTATTTCGGCAACCCTGGGGTTTCCTAGGAAACCCTTTATCTGACAAAAAAAAAATGTAAGCTACCATTCCTGGAAGTTTCAGGAATGGCAATCTAGTAAACAGATTGCAAGACTACCTAGGATCTTGATGAAAAAAGAACATTCATTTTAGGAACAGGAGTGGACTTCTAGCTATTTCTAGGCTCAAAGTTCGGCTTCCTGCGGTACGCTCCCCACGAGATTCCCAAGGGCTATAAATCTGGAGGGTCTTACGTGGAATCAGACTCTGCATTGCACTGAAGGAAGAACCCCACGCTTTTCTGATGCGGCCGGTCCGGATAGAGCCGTGGCATCACCATGATCTTCCACGGGAGGTTTCGCACAAAGCAGGGAGGGCTCAGGACTGATTCACTCAGCCTGCTGAAACGTTCAACAGTAAACTGAAAGGTCGCCTCCGATCGCCAGCTTGTGTCTGCGAAAGAGGAAAAGAACAATTTACTGTAATGCAGATTCATCACCTTGGTTCCCCCATGCGTGGCCCGAGGCTCACACATCCTTGCATCATGTGACACGCTAAGATGGGGGGTCATGTGTGCAAAGCAAAATACCTAAATACATTATAGGAGAGTATCCATGCCCAGGACCCTAGCAGCTATTTACTCTTGTCCTGGATGAGACAGCAATTCTAAATAAATTTTCTGGCATAAGGATAAAACGTTTAAAGGGCAACCCTCATTACAAATTGTCACTAAATAAGCACAGCTGACAGCACTCGTATGCTCAATGCCACACTGATCCAGCAAGGTAAAAGCTGCCAAAAGGCCAACAAAGGGAGGTGAGTTATCTTTACTCAACTTTCAGTCCAAAACATCAAAACGTAAGCCATTGATCCCTTTGACAGCAATGCCACCACAGCTATCCCTTTAATCCCAATCCAGTCTTAACAGAGTTGAGTTTGGAGGCGAGATCAATGATATTTCACTTTTTAAAGAAGTTATGCTTTTGTCTTTTTGTAAAAAAAATCTCAATAAGCAACCACAAAGCAAAAAAAGCCAATTTTTTTTTTGCATTTCCAACAGCCAAATTAACTTGCCACTGCAGTGCGTCATAAAAAAGCAAAACAGTGAAACATTAAAAAAAAAAAGATGTCAAGTGACCAGTTCTTGATTCCAGAGCATTCTCCTTCCCACTTTCTCGATCAGGCACAAGGTCTCTCAAGTGCATTTTCAAGAGTGAAGAGGTATTTCCCGCCCCTGGCCTGGATTCCCACTGTGAGGGCAAAAAGCCAAGATCCTAAATGCAGCCTGTCTTGAACAGCTCCTGAAAGCCCTCCCCCACAATTTCCCCCACCCAACAAGGTGGCTAGGGCTGGCCTCACTGGGCCACGGAACATTTCCTTCCACCAGCCACGGCTTACAAGTGGCCTTTGAGCTTTCTCATTATAGACACACCAGCAGAAACCAAGAAAAGCCAACTCGTCGAAGCCCCTGTCACCAAAGCTGCGGCCCATGAACTAGCAAACGGCACATCGCCAGCACTGTAGGGACCCTTCTGTGAAAGGCACCACCATTTATTTATTTTTTGGGGGGGGAGAGAAAGACTAGTTTGATTTTACAAGAACTGAGCAGGGCTGTCAAGGACGGGCATTTTGGAGATTGCTCGTTCATAGGATCAAATGGGAGGTGACCTGATATCGCCAGCACTGTGGGGACCCTTCTGTGAAAGGCACCACCATTTTTTTTGGGGGGGGGGAGAGAGAAAGACTAGTTTGATTTTACAAGAGCTGAGCAGGGCTGTCAAGGACAGGCATTTTGGAGATTGCTCGTTCGTAGGATCACGTGGGAGGTGACCTGATGGCACCGGAAACACAACCACAAAATGAGCAAGCCAACCCACACAGGATGCAGTAGGTAGACAGATCCCATCCAGGACCACTTGCCAACATCTGACCTGAGGGAACACATCACCCGGCAATAGGAGCAACCTTGATCAAGGGTGCAAGCCACCCACTTCCTGCCTAAGTGGGACCACATTCTTGGTGCTTACAATGACAATTTCAATCTAACTACTTTTCTCTACAGACCCTCCAGGGAAGCATGTAATGCAGTAACATGGAAAGCCTTCTCACTATTAATTTGACATGCGATGCTTCTAAAACTTTTAGCTTTAGACACATGGTGAAAATTGTCTTTTTATAAAAGCCTCCACCATACAGTTGTACACAACTTCCGCCTAATGGACTAAATAATGTTGTATGGTAAATTGTTTACTGTGAACATACAGAGAACATGCTATCTCTTTTGTGTACTGCATGCATTATGTTTTATTACTTTGGTATGCCACATTGACATTTTCAAATCTATGCAGTTTCTTTGCCCTTATGTGTAAATAAATAGGTCATGAGGAAAGTAAAACTCCCTAAAAACACAATGTTAATTCTCCCCTTCCCCTAGCCATGTTATTTAAAAGCACCCAAACAGCGTATTAGGTGCAGGGTTTAAAAGATGTATGTTTTTATTTTTGGACAAATCAGAAAGAAATAAACCAGTTGTTGGAAAACCTAAACACTACAGCACCAAATATCTGTTGAAAAAACTAAACCACTGAAATTGCAACATATAAACAGCAGTAATATTAAAAGAGCAGGCAAGCGTACAAAACAGACCATATTCTGATTAAGCCTTTTCATGCCTTCCCCCCACCCCGCCTCAATTACCCTGAAAAGGCAGATCTTTTCACCATTCTGTTTACAAGGACATTGTGGGTCCAACATGTTTCACAACCAAGGAGTCATAACGAGGGAGCCATAGCACCACGAGAATTCCCCCCCCGCCCCCATCCTCACCAACCCAGCATCAGCTAAACAGGGGGGCCCTTTGCTCTCCGACAGCTAGCGTACAAGGCCGTTCCTACAGGAAAGGTTATCCTCAGCATCTCTGGGAAGCAGGCAGTTTAAGATGTTGGAAAAGGCTATCGCTGGTCATCTGAACTGCACTGAAAGAGAACCTGGGGCAAAAAGTGAAATTCACTCCTACCCACATGCACCCGCTAGGAAGGAGGTGCTGTATTTTGAACATCCAAACATCCATGAAAGCAAGCTGGCCTGGAGGCGAGGAAGACCTATGACAGAGGCCAGGTCCTTCTCTAGGATGAGTCACTGTCTGTACGGCATTCCTTGCCACAGAGGCAGTCTGGTTTTCCAGGAACAACTACCCTGTTTCTCTGAAAATAAGACCTAACCTGAAAATAAGCCCTATCCCCCAGAATAAGCCCTAGGAAGTGAAACCCCGCCCTCCACCATTGTGCAGCAACCAGAAGAACATGGCATGATTGCATTTGAATAAATGTAGATTGCTGTACACGAAAAAAAAATTCCCTGAAAATAAGCCCTAATGCGTTTTTTGGAGCAAAAAATTAATATAAGACCCTGTCTTATTTTCGGGGAAACACGGTAAGTAACACTATGTGCTACTCACCTAGATGGTCTGATACAACACTGGCCAATCATTTAGAACAGTGATCCCTAAACCTTTTGACACCATGGACCGTTTGGGGGGGGGATGGGGTGTGAGTACAGGGGGAGGGGCTCGCACAGGCACTTGCGGAGGTTGGGGGCCCGATTTAGAACTTTTACTGCCAGATAAAATACATGAAATTCACATTATGAAATTGAGCAACCATCAAATTCACATTACTTAATCATGGGGTTCAGAGACAGTGCATAATTTGTTTATTTGAATAATTTTACTGTCTTGCAAAACCTTTTGACACCATGGACCGTTTGGGGGGCATGGGGTCTGTGTACGGGGGGAGGGGCTCGCACAGGCAATTGCACGCATGAGCAAAGGGGTGGGGCAGTCGCACACACTCACGCACATGCATGAAGGGTGCTTGCGGGGGTGCATGCACACTCGCATGCATGCACGAAGGGGCTGTGAGGGTGGGCATGCAGAGGGGACTGCATTGGGGGGGGGG